GCTCGGTTACAGCAGCGCCCCCCACCCCCGTGCGCTCGGTTACAGCAGCGGCCCCCCCGCCCCCCCGCAGGGCCAGGCTGCCGAGATCCTCCTGCAGCTTCGGAAACACAGTACCAGGTTCTCGAAGATGAAGTCCTCGTGGCTATCCCACTCAGCAAATGCCACCGCAGAGGTGGGAAAGCCGCGGTCCCTAGGAAACCGGCATCTCTTCCGTAGAAGCCAAGGGGATGGCAGATGGTGACAACCGAGGGACGGTCCCCGGGCTCTGTGGTGGCGGGGGGCGGTGGCCATCTGATGGGCACCTTCCACTTGGAAGCAGGCCTCTCTCCCACACGCTGTGCGAGCAACACGGCTCTCCTTCAGTTCCCACCTCGTTCCTCCAGCAGGTGAGGCGCCCGTCCTGCCCCTGAGAGCACCGTCTGCTTTCGGAGGCGTCTCCCTCCACGTTCGCCCGTGTCCCCTCTGTCCATGGGGGCCTTCTCAGGGGCTCATCAGGGAAGGCGCTGTGGCTGAAGGTGGAACAGCCCCAGCTGGAAGGCGGCAGCTCTCTGCTGAGCCAGGAAAGCATCATCTCCAGGTCCTGCCTGCAAGGACCGTGTCTGGGCAGGACCCACTGTGCCTGGATCTCTGTGAAACTGCACAAGCACGGCCAGAAGTGAGCTCCCCTTTCCACATCTTAGAGTGATTTTGGCTTCGACACCTAAAATCAGCCATGAAGGTGCCTGTGATGGATCACGCTCTCTGTGGGACTCCCAGGGGCGTGAACCAATGAGTGCCGTGGATTCGCCCCAGGTAGGTAACCTTTGTACCTTACGTCAGACGTAGCGCAGATCACAGTCGCAGCTCAGTGACAGACCAGGTGGGCTCAAGGCAAATTGTCGTTAACAGCTGGACATGCCCTTCCATTCGTTTTCTCCGCCAGAGCCCGGCTATCCCGCAGGGTCCCAATAGAGGTTGGTGGTCCCCTGAGAACCGGTACCCTGTTCAGGGCGATGAGAGGCCACCTGGGGCTGGATGCTCAGACTGAGCCTGGCAGCATCACCTGTGTTCCACGTCCTCTGACGGGAGGGAGGCCACCTGCCCAAGGGCGGAGCTGCCTGGAGCCGGGCGCCGCTCCGGACGGAGCCAGGCCTGTTTGCTGGGGCCACGTGGTGTGTTCACAGGGGTTCCCCGGTGGGAGAAGGTGAGCCCAGGAGTTAGACATTCTGTACGAAATCTCCTAACCGGCGTACAGTTTGGAAGACACTGTTTAATTTTATTTCCAAGAAAATTACAAAGATGATTTGACCTTTGACTAAGCTTTCAGCCCCTCTCCTCCTGCAAGTCAGTAAAAGCACGTTTGAGAGATGGAAGGCAGGGTGCTGGGTTGGGAAACTCTCTGTGACAGACTCGACAGCTTGACTTCTCAGAGACGTGGGAGGCGCGGTGACAGGAGGGCAGGGCCCCTCTCTCCCCTCCGCACGGGCATCTCGCTGGCGGCCTCCCAGCACCAGTCCGACCTCTGCTCCCTCAGGGTCTTCATCCACAGCGGTGCAGCCCCGGGCCGGGGAGCCGAGGGTCTCACATACCTGCTCCGGGAGTCAAGCGGCATCTCCTCTTATTGGACGCACCGTGACTGCCTGCTCTTCGAAAGTCCCAGGGGCAGATCACAGCCCTGTCCCTAACTGAGCTGGGGCATCCTGAGAAGCTGGAATTCAAGGGGGGGAAATGAAAACCCAGAGGGGAAAATCACCATAAATGAACAAGGAACAGTCCGGCAAGGCAGGCTCGCCTGGGGTGCATGGCCTCGGGGGGCCGGGCCCTGGGCAGCCTCTCCAACTCGGGAGTCAGGGCTGGCCCAGCCCCACCAGGAGGTCACGTCAGGAGAGGAGGCCGGCAGGGGTTACCTGCCCGGCAAGCCCCAGGCTCCCAGAGGAGACCCAGGGGGGAGAGGGCTGAGATCCTGGGCGGGCAGCGCCTGTCGGCCCCTCCCGCGGCCTCACGGCCCCTGTGACCCTGCCATCTCTGACGAAGAGCCCTCCCGTCCCGCCCAGGCGAGCCTGCCCCATCGGATGAGGGCTGTCCTGGGGCAGCTGCTCTCCCTGGAGAGGCCCGAACCCGGGACGTCTGCCCCTGCGGCTGAAACGAGGCTCTCTTCTTGTGATTCTCCTCCCTGGGGAGCACTGACATGCCGGCCCCTGCCTCTGACCTGACAGTGCCGGCCAGCCCCTCCCCGCCCCCTCCTCTGGCCTCGCCTGCAGGCCCCTCTGTTCTGCTCTTGTTGGCTCCGACTCTCCGCAGGCTGCATGGGGGCAGAGCCTAGAGCTGAGGGCTGCCCCACGGAGGAGGCCAGGCCAGTGAGCCCTGGCCGCGGTCCCCTTCCCGGACGCCGCAGTCCTGTCGGAAGGTGTTCAGGCTACACCGGTGAGCCCCTCCCTCCTGTGGCCACAGGTTTCCACTTCTTCATTTCGTCACTATTTTAGTGCTCCCGTTCCTTCTAAGAGGTGCCCAAAGGCTCCCTGGGTGCAGCAGGTGGAAGCCAGGGCTGTGACCCCGCGTTCCCGGCGGCTGAACGGGGCAGGTAGGTGGAGCGGCCAGGCGTAGCGGCAGGAGGAGGCAGGGTCTGACCCTCTCCCCGCCCACCTGCTTAGCAGGTGCGCCAGGAGGGAAGGTGGGCCTGGAGGTCAAGTCAGACGTCTGAAGGTTCTATACAGAATTTGTTTTTGAAATTAGTGAGTGAGCTGTGACAGGCCGAACTGTGTCCCCCCAAAGTCATATGTTGAAGTTCTGACCCTCAGGACCTCAGAATGTGACTGTTTGAAGATGGGGTCCTGGTAGAGGTGATCGGGTTACGGCGTCATCAGGGTGGGTCCATCACCACGTCCTTATGAGAAGGGGAGTCTGTTCACGGGGACGTGCAGAAGAAGGTGACACACGAGGCTGGAGTGATGATCTTCGAGCCAGGGACCACCAGGGACGCCGGGAGCCCCCAGGGCTGCCCACACGTTGGTTTCCACTTCTGGCCCGAGACCCACGAGACAATTCCCGTCTGTGGTTTGAAGCTGCGGTCTGTGGTGCTCCGTTACCGCAGCCCCGGGAGATGGACACGCGGGCAAACAAAACACACCTGGGGCTGCATCTGCCCCAGAGAAACAGCGCGCGTCCTCTGGTGAGAGGCACCAGCACGGCGGACTCACGGAGCCGAGACACCCTCAAGCCGGTCCCCCGACCCGGGCTCTCGGGCAGCCTCGTCTTAGAATTCCAACACAAGAGGGACTTCCACCCTCGCGACTCTCTTTCCACTGCCCCTCTGGCCCCGTATCCACGACCTTTAGGAAACCCGAATGCATGGCTTCTGTTAAGCCTTGGCAAACACGGTGAACAGAGCAGGGCGGAGGCGGTGCCCCACAGCATGGCCCGAGGGAGCCTCTCCGGTGGAGCCCGGCTTTCCCGTGGCTGGCATTTACTCAGCGGCCTGTAGGAACAGGCTGGCTCGCTTAACTGGAAGTCTATGTAAAGGTGCCGTCCTCTACCTCTTTATCTTTGCGTTTGGACATTTCGTTAAAAAAATGAAAACCCCTAGCACCCGCACTGAAGTCGACAGCAGCTCCGCGACCCCCGGCGAGCCACAGCCTCAGGGAGGCCCAGCTGGCCCGCCCGCAGGCTGTGAGGACACCCGGCAGGCCTAACAGGTAGAAGAGCTCACAGACTTAGAAACGGTGGCGCATAACTGCCGCCGAGTACGACGTTCAGACTGCTTCCTTCCTCAGAGAGTCAGCACCCTAGAGGCTCGAGAAAGCCAGCGCCCGGACCCCGGCTCCCGGGGGGGCGCGTCCCCCAGCCGTGCGCTGCTCCTGGACGTGGGCTGCCCTCCAGCTGCCCCGCAAAATGCACCTGCTGCCTCTTGTCCACCTTCGTTGTGACGTATTTGCTCAGGGTGGTCTCTGTCCAGAGATGCCTCCCCTGCGGGTGGGGGGCTCACGACAGGGGTGCCTCGGGACAGTGGACACCCCCACCTGTGCTGGGTGGGTCAGGGCCCAGAGCCCGTGTCCTCCTGTGACGGCCCCACAAACACGCAGAAGGATGCAGGGCAGGAGGAGGGGCGGGTTGGGACAGAGCACACAGGCTGCTCGCGCGGGTCCAAGGAGTGGGCCCAGGTCTCCTGGGTTCTGTGTGGCATGTGGCTGACCCTGGCTTTGACCTGAACAGTGGCCCATGGCTGAGTGGACAGGCCCTGCCCCAGGCTCAGGTCCTTCCGCCTGGCCATCGGGTCTCTGAGCCACTCCAGGGACATCAGCCCCCGACGCTGATGTGACTCCCAGCAAATCCGCCAGGAGCCAGGACCGCCGAGGGGCGCGGGCCCCGGGGACGCGGCCCCGAGGTCTGGGGTGCTCTCACCTCCCCAGGGCTCCTGTGGAAGCAGACGGAGGCAGGCCTCCTGGACTGAGAGGGCCGTGGTCACGTCCAAGTGGGGAGACTTCTCTTTTTTTAAACCTCTTTTAAACGAACTTTCGTAATCGCTCCTAAGCCCTTTTACAAGGGGGCGGGCAGCAAAGCACAAACCAATCTGCAATAAACGTGGGGTTTGGGACGAATGATAAAATCAGAGCAATGTGAGTGAACGGGTCCAGTGAATTCAGGGTGTTTGAAGGGAGGCTGTTTTCCAAAACAACTCGTTTTCTCTGCTTTCACGTGTGCTCCATGAAACAGCGATGACGGGACGCACCCTTCCCACGCCAGCCGTCCCTGAGCGATCGGGACAGCCCAGGAGAGAAACCGCACGGCCACGAGGCAGCCTGCCGGGCGCAGCACGGAGCACAGCTAAGTCCCCTCCGAGGCCCAGGCGTCCCTGGGGTCCTGCTTCCCCGCCCGGGTGGCCCCCGGGCGGGCACACAACCAGCAAGGTACTCAGGGGCGGTGGGCAGCAGCCGGTCCTTTCTCAGTCTGGCCAGCAGCCTCCGATGGGTGCCTCCCGAACACCCAGGCCTGCATGCCCCGACCTCCTGGCACCCTCCTCCTCCAGACAGGCACCCTGCCTTCTTGTCCTGGCTCTGACCCCTGTGTGGGTGCTCTCGGGGCCTTGCCTTTCTGCAGCATGTCAGCCCCAAGGAGGTGCCCCCAGCACGTTCACATGGTGCCTCTGCTGCGGTTGGCTGCTCATGAGCCCCACCCATTCAGTTCTGCAACCAAAACCAAAGCCCCAAGTTCTCTCTCGCAGAGCTGTCTCCCCCACGAGCAGGGACCCTCCTGTTTGGGCCCCTGTAGAACCAGGTCCAGGCGCCCCATCCCCCGCATGTGGGAGCCCTCTGCCTCCTTTCCCACTGGCAGTCGAGGCTCTGGGCTGCTCAGGCCAAGTTCTCTGCAGGCCTGTGCCCGCCCCCCCGAGTCTCCACCCCAGGAAGGGGGTCAGTCTCTCCAGGGGGCCCGAAGGCCCCTCTTCCTTTAGGTTGAGGAAGAGGAGTCTCCCCAGGGGGGCAGGAAGGAAGATGCTGGGCCGCCCTCCTCCTGAGCCCCAAAGGGACGCTTCCCCCACCTCCTCCAGCTCCAGCCCCATGTCCTGGGTGTCATGTGGACGCATTGACCAGCTCCCGGCACGTGTGTCCGGGGGACCGGCCCCTTCCTTGGGTCGCAGGAGCATTGCCCCCTTCCTGCCTGCCTCTCAGCACTTGGAAGCTCCAGGGCAGTGAAGGCAGAACCCAGCCCACACTCACGGGCTGGGAGGCAGGAGGCGTGAGCTCCCCTCTGGGACGGGGCCTCGAGAAGGACCATGCGGGGTGGAGGCTGCCAGTGTGGGGAGGACCACAGAGGAAAGGGTTTAAGGAGAGTTAATGAGAATTTCTCTCAGAATGAGAATCCAGGACACTCATCAACTATTTAGGCTTATTCTCTATTTTCGTCTCTCTTCTGTCACCCTGGACAGCGGTGGGACCTCTGGCCTGAACTTCTCACCGAGGTGCTGGTGTGGGATGCGGTGGTCAGCTGCCTCCAAACCCCGCCCTCGACAGGGCTCCGTGTGCTGGCGGCGTGGGCAGAGGAGGCGGGCGAGCACTGTGAAGTCTCCTTTCCAGGGAGACTCTCCGGTGCCCTGCCTTCTGGCACCCCCACGCACCTCCCTCACGCCTCAAAGGCTTGTTCATCCAGTCTCACTGGACCGAGAGGTGCCTCAGATATATTACCAAGAAGGTCGCACGTGAGCTAATTAACTCATTAGTGTCTAGTCGTCAAACGTGTATTGAGTCCTTGTAAGTGGAGGCACTGCGCTCGGGCCGTGGGGGCCTGTAAGATAAGACAGACCTGGTTCCCGTTGTAAGGGTCTTGGCACCCAGGGAGGTGGGCAGACAGCCGTCAACATAAGTGACTCCCACAAATGGCACATGTGACAAATGCTGTAAGAGATAAACTGAGCTCTCTTGGAATTTAGAGAGAATAATGTATTCGGCTGGGGGTTAGGCACTCATTTATAGGAGCAATTTCTTACTGGCCACGTGGTGCTGCCAGGCCAGGCCCAGACACCAGCGCTGTCTGGCGGGCCAGGCGGGGAGCCCTGCTGCGTGCTTGGTCCACTGCCCCACTGGACTGTCCCCACTGGACGGTCTCGGGTCCGAGCAAAGTCAGGTCGCAGGGAGGCAGTGCCGCGAGCGGCAGGTGGCCGCCCTTCCACCCGTCTGAGAACAACACAGAAATGTTAGCCTATCAGTGATTTTCCCTCCCTCCTACAAAAGCAGACCGCGCCTCAGGTAGCGCCTGGGTGAGCTGTGCCACTTCTAGAACAAGAGATACACTGAAGTCCTGAGCCCCATGTTATGGACTGAGTTTGTGTCACATCCAAAATTCATACATTGAAACCCCAATCCCCAGCATGATGGTGTCGGAAGCGGTGCTTTGGGGAGGTAATTAGGTAGGAGGGGTTGGACAAGAGACCCTGGAGAGCCCTCTCGTCCTTCCTGCCTTTAAGGAGGACACAGGAGAAGACAGCCATCTGTGAGCCAGGAAGCGGGTCCTCACCAGGCACCGAATCTGCCGGCAACCTGATCGCAGGCTTCCGGGCTCCAGAAGCGTAAGGGACAAGTGCTGGTTGTTCAGAGAACTTAGCCGGTGGTAACCTTGCTACAGCAGCCTGGACGGCCTAAGACACACCAGACCCTTAGGACGTGATCTTACTCGGAAGTAAGACCGCTGCACGTGTAATCAGCTGAGACCAAGCCCCAGAGTGGCCCCGGATCCAGGAGGACTGGTGTCCTCGTAAGAGGCTGCGCCGCGCGAGGACAGACGCAGCAGAGCGCCAGGTGACAGCAGCGGCAGGGCCTGGAGCGAGGCTGCTGTGAGCCCAGGGGCACCGAGGACGCCAGAAGCCCCTACCGCCGAGGGAGACAAAGAAGGGTCCCTCTGAATAGACGTCGTTCTAGGGAAGACGTACAGCAGGCCACCAAGCACGAGGAAGGATGCTCAGCGTCACTACCGATCAGGGAAACGGAAATCAAAACCACAACAAGACGTCATCTCACACCCGGCAGGACGGCCGTCACCAAAAGACAAGAAATGACAAGTGCTGCAGGGGGTGCGGGGAGAAGGGAGCCCCCGGGCACCGCTGGTGGGAGAGGAAACGGGTGTGGCTGCCGTGGGAAACAGTCTGGAGGGTCCTCGGGAAATTGAAGGCAGAGCTGCCGTACGAGTCAGCAGTCTCCCTCCTGGGCGTCTGTCTGAAGAAGACAAAAGCCTAATCTGGAAAGACACATGCAGCCCGGTGTCCACAGCAGCCGAGACGTGGACGCGAACTGAGTGCCCCTCCGCAGACGACAGGATGAGGAAGACGCGGGTGTGTGTGAACGGGGCAGTACGACTCAGCCGTGGGAGGAACGGAGTCCTGCCCTGTCGGCAACGCACCTCGAGCTGCGGGGGCCGTGTGGTCAGTGAAGTCAGTCAGACAGAGACACAGGCAGCGCGGGGCCGCTCTTACGGGTGGACTCTAGAAACCCTTCAGACTCACAGAAACATAGCGAACAGGGTTGCTGGGGGACCAGCGCTGTCAGAACGTGCACATTTCGGTCGTAAGACGATTACGTTTGAGGACCTAACGTACAACGTGGTGACTGTAGGTAACAGCGCTGGACTGAATACCTGAACTTTGCCAGGAGAGTGGGCCTTAAGCATTCTTCCCACGAAGACAAACAAACCCCAGCGCTCACCTGTGGAGCTCTCAGAGAGCCCGGCCCTGCGGACACTCCACTTCAAACGGAGCCTCGGACAGCGAAAGGATACCTGCCTGCCGCCTTGTCAGCCAGTTCGAACCATGTTGTTACAGCGGCTTTAGGAACCGGGTACGGGCAGAGGAAAACCACTGGGACACGCTGTCCGCCGAGCAACTCCGTGACGCCCACCGCCGGCTGACAGCCCGCAGCGAGAGCCAGCCGGATACTTACCTGATCAGTGCTGGAGTTCCTCAGTGAAACCCATGTTCAGTTATTTAAAACCTAAACCTTTTAATACGCAGCCCTCTCTTCCTGGCCAAGAAGTTCCCCTGGTTTGAAGAGCCCACGGAGGAAAACTAAAGTGAGGA